TAAAATTTCTTTGTTAGAATCCATCACATCTGAAATAATAGATGATGATCCAAAGAATTGCCTGACTCATGTTGTTGATACATGGACTCCCAAATTTAAGGAACTTTCGTCAAGTGGCACAAAGCCACTCTTATCCAATGTCAAGCCACCAAAGCCTGAATTGAAACCCCTCCTATCTGACCTTAAATATTCATTTCTAGGAGAGGACGAGTCGTACCCAGTAGTAATTTCATCTAAGCTCATAGACTTGCAAGAGTCTAAACTGATTGAAGTTCTTAAAAACCACAAAACCACCATTGGGTGGACCATTGTTGAATTGAAAGGTATAAGCCCATTGATCTGCAATCATGCCATACACCTGGAAGAGGATTCAAACCCCTTTCGTCAAATGCAGCAACGACTGAACCCTCATATGAAGGAAGTTGTGAAAATGAAAGTGCTTAAACTTTTAGATGCAGGGATAATCTTTCCCATCTTCGATAGTAAATGGGTTAGCCCAACCCAAGTTGTGCCCAAAAATTCTGGGGTCATAGTGGTAAAAAATGAAGCCAATGAACTAGTACCAACTAGAGTCGTCACAGGATGACGAATGTGTATTGACTATCGAAAGCTCAATTTGGTGACTAGAAAAGACCATTTTCCTCTTCCTTTTCTGGACCAGGTTCTAGAGAGAATTGTAGGCCATGAATTTTACTGTTTCCAGGATGGTTATTTCGGGAACAACAAATTGAGATAGCACTCAATGATCAGGAGAAAACCATATTTGCATGCCCCTTTGGCACTTTTGCATTCAAAAGGATGTCGTTCGGACTTTGTAATGCTCCTACAACATTCTAAAGATGCATGTTAAGTCTGTTCAGTGACATGGTCAAAACTTTTTGAAAGTATTCATAGATGACTTCTCTGTCTATGGTGACTTGGTTGATTTGTGGCTGGCCAAACTAGAAAAGGTATTAATAAGGTGTAAAGAAACCAATCTGGTGCTTAATTGGAAAAAAATGCCATTCTATGGTAACACAAGACATTATCTTAAGTCACATTGTGTCTTCTAAGGGCATGAAAGTTGACAAGGCCAAAATAGATCTAATTGGAAACTTGCATGCTCCCAAGACTGTGAAGGATGTCCAATCATTTCTGGGATATGCAGGATTTTACAGGAGATTCATAAAAGATTTCAGTACCATAGCAAAACCCATGTGTCATCCCCTGAGTCAAGACGTAATCTTTGATTGGAGTGAAACATGTCAAAAAGCTTTTAACAAGCTTAAAGACATGTTAATTTTCACCCCAAAAATGCAACCCCCTGACTAAACTCTACCCTTTGAACTAATGTGTGATGCAAATGATTATGTTGTAGGTGTTGTATTGGGACAAAGAAAAGATAAGAAGCCACATGTCATTTACTATGCAACTAAAACTTTGAATGATGCTCAAATGAATTATTCAACAACTGAAAAAGAATTGTTTGCGGTAGTGTTTTCTTTGGAAACATTTCATCCTTATCTTGTTGGTTCTTCTGTTATTACTCTGTTCATTGACCATGCAGCATTAAAATTCTTGCTCACAAAGAAAGATGCTAAGCCTAGGCTCTTAAGATGGATACTCTTACTTCAAGAATTTGACCTGGTCATTAAGGACAAAAAGAGGGTGTTGAGAATGTGGTGACAGACCATCTGTCCAGGTTAACTTATGAATTTCACGAGGATGAACTACCAATCAATGAAAACTTCCCTGATGAACAACTGTTCATAATTGATGAGATCCCATGGTACGCTGATATTGCTAATTTTCTTGCTACTGGAACACTCCCTCTGTCTTTTTTCCCCCCATGGACAAAAAAAAATTTCTGAGGGAGGTTTGTAACTTCTTTTGGGAAGATCCGTATGTATTTAAGTATTGTAAGGATCACATCATAAGACGTTGCATCCCCGCTCAGAAAAGCAGATAGGTAAAAACCTTTTGCCATTCTGAAGCATGTGGTGACCACTTCTCCTCAAGAAAAACCATTGCGAACATCTTGCAGTGTGAATTTTACTGGCTCACACTTTTCAAAGATGTCCATGCCTTTTGTTTAATTTGCGATAGATGCCAAAGGTTGGGAAGCATTTCAAAAAGAAACATGATGCCCTTGAACCCGATTCTTGTGATTGAAATTTTTGACTATTGGGGCATTGATTTTATTGGACCATTCCCCCCTTCCTTTGGCTATCTATACATTTTAGTGGCCGTAGACTATGTATCCAAATGGGTTAAAGCAATTCCATGGCGAACTAATGATCACCAAACGGTGATCAAATTTCTTAAAGAAAATATTTTGTCCCAGTTTGGAGTTCCTAAATCAATCATAAGTGATGGGGGACTCATTTTTGAAATCGCCCTTTCTGGAATCTGATGAAAATATATTTGATTTTCCATAAAATTGTAACCCCTTATCATCTACAAACTAGTGGACAAGCTAAATTAGCTAATCAGGAGATCAAATTAATTTTGGAAAAACTGTAAATGCAGATCACAAAGATTGGTCGTCAAGACTAACTGATGCCCTCTGGGCATATCGCACTGCGTTTAAAATAATTTTGGGCATGTCTCCTTATCGATTAGTCTATGGAAAGCCATGTCACATACCTGTGGAATTGGAGCATAGGGCATACTAGGCCATTAAAGCAATGAAATTTGACCTAGATAAGGCTGGACTTTCAAGAAAACTTCAGATTAATGAATTTGAGGAATTAAGAAATGAAGCATATGAAACTGCTAAGATTGCTACAACCAGGATGAAAATTTTTCATGACAAGAACATTATGCGGAAGTCTTTTGAACCTTTTCAAAAAGCCTTGTTGTTTAATTCAAGACTCCACATCTTTTGGGTAAGTTGAGATCAAGATGGACAGGGCCTTATATTGTCAAAAAGATGTTTGAACACAGAGCAGTAGAAGTGAAAAATCCGTGGAACGATAATATGTTTACTGTTAATGGTCAGCGGTTAAAACCATTTTTGGAAAACTTTATCAAAAATGTGGAGGCCATTCTTTTAGTGGATCCAAAACATCGCTTCGAGAAAAAGCATCTGCCGACACAAAAAAGGGGCAAGTCAGGAAAAACTCGATTACACCCGACCCACAGGCACACCTTTATAAGTCGTCTTTCCCCTTTTCTTTTTTCTTCACCACCGCCTTTCCCCTTTTTCCTTTTTCCTTCTTATTTTGCTTCTTCTTCTTTGTTGTTCGCGATCTTCTGGAACCATGACCCATCTCCCAACAACACCATGACCATACTATTTAAAAAGTAATTTTTTTATTTTATTTATTCATTTTTTTAGTATATATTTCAACAGATTTTTTATATTTTCAACTATTTTTTTTAAATATTATTTCTTTTTTTGTTTTGTATTAATTTTTTTAGGAATAATAAAAGAGAGAAATAGAGAAAATGGAGAAAAAAAGACGAAGAGAGAAAAAAATATTATAAAAATTTTTTACATATCACTATAATGATACTCTAAATATAGAGTATTATTATAGTAAAATGTTATTTGAAATACTTTGAAGATAATTTGTTAGAATTAAATTTTTAAGTTAAGGTGACCTAAACTTAAAACTCATTACTTTTTGAATGATCTTTCTTGTCTTTCTGTTGCTAGGGGTTTAGATAATCCTCTTACTTTTTCTCGGTACCCAAAAAAAAAAAACCTTAAAACTCAAATTTGAGTAAAAATTTAAGTCAAAAGTTTGCTCTATATTATCCTAAACGGTATTTTCTTTAATTGTTTTTCTCTCTTCAAGTTTTATTATTTTTAGAAGTCAAACTGGGTGGTCGATGGTTTTTGGATAGGGCTCCTACCCATTGTCTTTTTCATCGAAGTCGAACTGTGTGGTCACTCGTCGAAGTCGAACTGGGTCCATCAACGATGGAAAGATCGACAACAGTAACTAGTGAAAGGAGGAGTGGCTAGTGATTCGACGACATAAAATTTTTCTTGGCAGATCGACGACAAAAAGAGAAGAAAGAGAAGAGATTCAATGGCTCAAAAATTGAGTAGAGGTTTAATGTTCCTCAATTTTGTGGCAAAATAGTTTTTATACAGATTTGAGTCAAAGAGTTTAGAGAATTTTTGAATCATTTTGACTCAAATTTATATTTGAATTTAGTTTTGAGTAAGGAGCGAAGATGCTGACAACGTGGACTTAACAACGGGGTACCGACAAAACTAGAGTTGATTATGTGGTACTTGACAAAAAAAATTCAATATCGTATTCCAAAAATTACTATTTTAATAGGTGTTTTTATAATTTTTGTGAGTTAATTTACAACAAAAAAATTATTATTTTTATGTATATTTTTATCACTTTTATGATAATTATCGTCTAATCCGACAACTCCTCTTTCTTACTTTTCCTTTATCCCCTTTATTGAAATTGGGTCTAGCCAATAACTATACAACCCTTCCCTCTAATCCCTTGCCTCGGGTGGATTGAGCGACTGATTGACCGAACTTATGAGGTGTGAAAGTCTTGCTCTTTCAAGTGGCAGGATATCGGCTCAAAAGGAAGGGTCTCAACAACCTTTATTCTTGACGAGAATGATCGTTTTCTTGGAACTAATTTCTGCACAAGCGGTGGAGCATGTGGTTTAATTCTATACAACGCGCAAAACCTTACCAGCCCTTGATATATGAACAACAAAACTTGTCCTTAACGGGATGGCTTTGACTTTCATACAAGTGCTGCATGGCTGTCGTCAACTTGTGTCGTGAGATGTTTAATCAAGTCCTGTAATGAGCGAGGGTTTGGACAAACTTCCTTGTGGCTGGATCCATTTTCACATCACTACCCTCGGGTTTTAAAATGGCATTTAACTCCCTTGTGTTGTTGGACTAAAAGCACAATTAACTTTGTTAACTATTACATTAAAATGATCTTAATACCCATCAATTTGTCTTTTAATTTAAAAAACAATTAATCCAAAATTACTTCGGAGTCCAGCCATTATCGCCATCACCATTAAATTCGACATTCACTCCAGTAGTCAGCCCCAACTCTGGCATTCACTGTGCCATCACCACCAACAGCAGCCCACCGCCTACACTATACAAGCCATTACGTCTTCACAATTCAACCTCAACACAACTCAAAATTTTAATCAGAATTCCACTTTATCCCCCAACTCTGGCATTCTCCGTTCTTACACCAACAAATCTCAATTCCTCTTTTCTTCACCAAAAATCAAAACATAAATCAAAAATCAAACTGAAAGTAGAATCAAATTGGGAATCGACATGAAAATAAAACAAAATAGGATATCAAAATTTGAAACAAAGANTCCGTGCCTACACCAACAAATCTCAATTCCTCTTTTCTTCACCAAAAATGAAAACATAAATCAAAAATCAAACTGAAAGTAGAATCAAATTGGGAATCGACATGAAAATAAAACAAAATAGGATATCAAAATTTGAAACAAAGATAGAAAATTAAAATCAAATCAAAACTAGTACTCATGGTTGTTGGTGCCTATACAGTCGTCGGCGACGCCATTCGCTCTGCTGCCTGTCTCACAGTGTTATGAAGCTGCACACAAAGAAAGAGAGAGAGAGAGAGAGAGAGAGAGAGAGGCTAATGAGGAGATAAAAGGTGTTTGTGGGTTATTCCATTTAGATGTTTTCATCATTTTTTTTAACCTATTTCGATGTTTTTCATTATTGTTTTACCTAATTTCATTAAATAGATCACCGGCCACGTATAAGTTAACAAATGAAAGAGGTAGCCCAGTGAAAGTAGGGATGNTGTCGGCGACGCCATTCGCTCTGCTGCCTGTCTCACAGTGTTATGAAGCTGCACACAAAGAAAAAGAGAGAGAGTGAGAGAGGCAAATGAGGAGATAAAAGGTGTTTGTGGGTTATTCCATTTAGATGTTTTCATCATTTTTTTTTAACCTATTTCGATGTTTTTCATTATTGTTTTACCTGATTTCATTAAATAGATCACCGGCCACGTATAAGTTAACAAATGAAAGAGGTAGCCCANGGGTTATTCCATTTAGATGTTTTCATCATTTTTTTTAACCTATTTCGATGTTTTTCATTATTGTTTTACCTAATTTCATTAAATAGATCACCGGCCACGTATAAGTTAACAAATGAAAGAGGTAGCCCAGTGAAAGTAGGGATGAACTATAAATACAAACATCCTAAGTTTAAAATTCGACAATTCCTTTAAAACCAAACCATGAGGGGTTTATTTGAGCGAATCTAAATTCAACCCACCTCTATCACAGATGATGGACCACTAGTATAGCATCTAAGAGCAACTCCAATTGAGTTGTCAAATTCTAACTGGACAACTACAACTGTTCTTTTTTGACATTCTCTTCTTCTCCAACAACTATGTCAAATGTTGGTTGTGTTATATCAAATGCCGACTGTACTTGCCAAATTTTGACATACTATCAAATATCTCATCTCTCGTGTCAAATCCTAAAATATCTCAACTTCCTACTCATGCATCACATAAATTTGACATATCGATTAGAATGTAAGGTAAAAATGTCAAATTGCGATATAAACAAATTTGAATTNCGAATCTAAATTCAACCCACCTCTATCACAGATGATGGACCACTAGTATAGCATTTAAGAGCAACTCCAATTGAGTTGTCAAATTCTAACTGGACAACTACAACTGTTCTTTTTTGACATTCTCTTCTCCTCCAACAACTATGTCAAATGTTGGTTGTGTTATATCAAATGCTGACTGTACTTGCTAAATTTTGACATACTATCAAATATCTCATCTCTCGTATCAAATCCTAAAATATGTCAACTTTCTACTCATGCATCACATAAATTTGATATATCGATTAGAATGTAAGGTAAAAATGTCAAATTGCGATATAAACAAATTTGAATTTAGTATATAATATTTGACATGTTCTAAAGGCAATTCGTCATTTTCAAATAATCCATTAGATACTACAAGGCATGATATAATTATAATCCAAGTTCCAATTGCCAACTTGTTGTGATCGTGCATCAATTATAGTGAATAATAAGGAATCAAACAATTAAGAAAGAAAGAGAAAATAATACAGAGATTTATGTGGTTCGGCAATGTGCCTACATTCACAGAAGTAAATGGTCGTTCTTTTTCATTATTCAAAGTAGGGTTACATTTTAAGTATTTATATAACTCTAGTACGGACGTATTTATAAAATACCCCTGTACCGTATCGCGGGAGTGTTGCCCTCGCACCCCCAACTAAACAGCATCCCCCCATANTCAATTATAGTGAATAATAAGGAATCAAACAATTAAGAAAGAAAGAGAAAATAACACAGAGATTTATGTGGTTCGGCAATGTGCCTACATTCACAGGAGTAAATGGTCGTTCTTTTTCATTATTCAAAGTAGGATTACATTTTAAGTATTTATATAACTCTAGTACGGACGTATTTATAAAATACCCCTGTACCGTATCGCAGGAGTGTTGCCCTCGCACCCCCAACTAAACAGCATCCCCCCATACATAAAATATATCAATCCCGCAAGGCAGATGCCATCGCAGGCTCCGCTACGTTCCACCCACTCCAACATCGGCCTCCTTGCCATTGTGCACACAGCAAATATGAGTCACACATACTTTAACATAACTCAATGATTACCAAAGGCCATATAAAATGACATAAAAAAAATAGAATTACAATGAGTGAATACATAAAATTTCTCTGNTCATTGTGCACACAGCAAATATGAATCACACATATTCTAACATAACTCAATGATTACCAAAGGCCATATAAAATGACATAAAAAAAATAGAATTACAATGAGTGAATACATAAAATTTCTCTGCTGTCAGTCTCACTTTGGTTCTGTTTCAATAATAAGCTCTTTAGTTATACAATTCAAATGAACTGGNCCATTGTGCACACAGCAAATATGAGTCACACATACTTTAACATAACTCAATGATTACCAAAGGCCATATAAAATGACATAAAAAAAATAGAATTACAATGAGTGAATACATAAAATTTCTCTGCTGTCAGTCTCACTTTGGTTCTGTTTCAATAATAAGCTCTTTAGTTATACAATTCAAATGAACTGGCAGATACTCAAAACATTGAGACTGCACGTAAGATTTTCAAGCACACGTTATTAGGAGAGAGAAAAAGGTTGAACATGTGATGGTGAAAGAATAAGATAGCCAAATTGTTTCTCAAATAATATTAGAATTTGCTGCCTACCGACAATGAAAATGGGTGTGTTTCTAGAAGTATTGCAGCACATNTTCTCTGCTGACAGTCTCACTTTGGTTCTTTTTCAATAATAAGCTCTTTAGTTATACAATTCAAATGAACTGGCAGATACTCAAAACATTGAGACTGCACGTAAGATTTCAAGCACACGTTATTAGGAGAGAGAAAAAGGTTGAACATGTGATGGTGAAAGAATAAGATAGCCAAATTGTTTCTCAAATAATATTAGAATTTGCTGNCAATAATAAGCTCTTTAGTTATACAATTCAAATGAACTGGCAGATACTCAAAACATTGAGACTGCACGTAAGATTTTCAAGCACACGTTATTAGGAGAGAGAAAAAGGTTGAACATGTGATGGTGAAAGAATAAGATAGCCAAATTGTTTCTCAAATAATATTAGAATTTGCTGCCTACCGACAATGAAAATGGGTGTGTTTCTAGAAGTATTGCAGCACATAACAAACAAACACTAAAACGAAATAAAAAAACATGTTTCAAGATAAGCTTGTCGTGTGATTTTTTCTTTTTCAGTGAGTGAACAGATTCCATTCTTTGTATCATTACTCTCTGCAACATCACTTGCCTACACCATGATGATTTCCCTCTCTACAAGAAAACTTTCTAAAAGAGCAAATGCTATTACTTATGCTCCTCAATATTATATTTGCTTCCTTTTAATATAACAATCTTCATAAAAAAGACCTCAAAATTAGATTCAAACTCTATCCAACACACCTTTTATCAACCTCTCTCATTAATACATCAACCACCATACACTCATGAGGGGTGGCAATGGGCCTTCAAAGGGGCCACTTTGCAATGTATCTAGGCTACATTTGTCTAGAGATTCTGAAACTCAAACTAGAGTCATACAACTTCCCATCATACTACATTCTCTGCACCACCATTAGGTTCTATTGCAGCAAACCAAGATAAAAAGAAATAATATTAGCTACCAGTGAGGTTGAACTGTGCCTTTGTTATTTAAGTCTACTTAGTATGATAAAGGCCTAAAACTGATCTCTCTGCATGCATATAAAATAACGTACATCTGACCCTCTTTAGATCCTGCTGTAACTGGACTGCCTTATGCATGAACTTCAATACAATCCTTACTTTTTAAAAGTTTAGGGTATATTCATGTAAAAATGTGGGCAATGATACACATCTTATTTCCCCAAAAAAAAAAACAGAACTTACGCTAACAGCTAGATATGGGACATGCACTAATCTATGGACAAAAAGAGAAAAAGACNCAGAACTGACGCTAACAGCTAGATATGGGACATGCACTAATCTATGGACAAAAAGAGAAAAAGACTTGCCATTTGCAAGGGACAGAGAACCGCTGTTTATTCTATACAAATCAGGCTTCCAATTACATTGAATCAATTGAAAAGAGAAAATTGAACATCTACTCCACTCTTTATATTCACTAAGATAGCCGATTTAAATACAAACAGAGAAAATGAATATGGCACAAAAATGACCATTGAACAATTTTGGAGAGTCGGGGTTGATCAAGGTTTGAACCTTTTTCACAGTTTCATCTCAGTCGGGCCGGTGTGTATGTATGCAGAATTCATTTTCCATATCTTGAGTGAGGCAGTAACTTTGACCTCAGTTGCATTGTTGAACAAGAAGAGTTGAGCATCTCCATTGATGGCCTTAGTTGGATATACCCTTGAGGTGATACATGTCCTTCCACCTTGAGCAAAGCTTTCGACAATCGAATGATCCACCTGAATGACAATTTTCAATGCATCAAATCAATGGCTGTGATTATATAGTTCTTGACAAGGTACGAAGAAGGTGAAATAGAAGGGTTCAACTTACCAGTGTCCTCATAGATAATTTTTCGCCTTTGAGTACTGGAACTGTGCTTCCATAAATCGCCTTGTCAACGTCGGTTGCTTCAGAAGACCTACAAGAAACAGTATGTATTACCCAGGTAAAACCAAATTCAAACTCAAATTGAACCTAATTCAATCCGAATTATGTAATGCGAGTTCAATCAAAGTTAAAAAGTATATACAAGAGCAACATTCAAAAGGGTTCAGGTGAAATTCAAAGTAAGGAATTTATAACCATAGTAACCAGAAATAGTTAAACTTTTAATAACCCACGATTTAGATATAAACGATCCCAAATAGAGTGGGTTCACGATTTAAATCACCTAAATGTATAATTATATATAATTTTAGATAATAAGAAATCAAACTCCAATGGAGAAAAAATAGTTGACTATGTGTTTATGAATGTACTATTNCGTCTGACCATAAATTGTAATCTTAAATCCAAGTCAATTCACTTTAAAACATGTATCGGAGATATAAAATAAACATTAATTAACTGTGTATGTATAGATGTATAATTATATATAATTTTAGATAATAAGAAATCAAACTCCAATGGAGAAAAAATAGTTGACTATGTGTTTATGAATGTACTATTATATAATGTTATATTGTAGTGAAAACGATCTAGAAAAAAATTCTAAAACAAATAATGATCCTAAATGCTATACCAACTAAGTCTATTCCGTTGGACTGTGTACCTAAGAAAGTATTGTATTGCCCGTATCTCATATCTTGACCCACGATTCATCCCCTCAATATGCTACAAGTCAAGATTAGACCAGAAGATTGGGCCAATTTTCAGAAGAAAAATTATGTTTTAACGGTCAGGGATTTTTGGACCAACTTACACTGTTACACGCACTTCAACTAATCATTTTCTCTTTCGAACAAAAGCAAACTATTTACACTAAGACTAAATTATTCATAAAGAATAAATCTCTCATAACCTTATTTCAAGAAATTGTTAAGATTCGCACTCAAGAGTTTACAGTCCGTTCTTATTACTGCGGCTGCTCAGACAATCATGCTTTTTTATGAAGGTATAATAGTTCTTCCTTGAAAAAACTGACATGAACTTCAATTCTTGAATGCTTGCAACCAAAAAAGATGAAGAGAAGAAGAAACCTTGATTGATCACTGCAGAAGAGAGTCTTGAGGTTGCCATCAGCTCCTTTTGCAACATAATAGTAGACCGTAGTCTGCTCAGAAAGGTCCTTATCAGCCAGAACTGAGATACCAAATGGCCCCAATGCACCTCTCTTAGCAGCTCCACCGGCGGCACTGCAATCATAGACATCGTCGGTTCCATTTATAGTCTCCAAGGCCTCTTTATCGATCTCAAACTCGGCCATGATATCTAACTGTTACATTGTCAATTGGAGAACCTTGTAAGCTATCTGTCTATGATGAAATTTACTACAATAGTTTACAATTTGGAGAGGGAATTACGGACCTGATCGGCTGAGTCCACGACGAGTTTAACGATTGACCCGGATTCGACGGTTACCATGTTGAATTCCCGGCTGCTGGATCTTAGGTTGTTGACCTCATCCACCGGCCATTGAAGTAAATTGCTACCTGTCTTCTTGTCAAACAATACAGTCCTTGGAATGGCCTGTTGGGGGATCACCAGAAGAACATATAAACATTTTTATTAACCAAATGATAGTGCGCCTATGACAAAGTATAGTGTACAAGTTTAGGTCTGTTAAATGATTCCAACAACTTGAGTTTGACTTGGGTGAGGCTCATTATTTATTTTTTTTTTTTGTTTTGAACTGGGTTCAAAATCATTTAAATCGTAAAATAAATAAATTTGATCAGATATTTTAGGTTATTTAGTAAAGTAGTTGAATTCAAGTCAAATATGATTCGAATGAATAACTAGACTTGTTTTGACTCGGCAAACATCCTTCAACTTAACCTCAAATAACTCTAGATTATATAAACTTGTATGTTTTTTCCTTAAATTATCTTAGACCTAGTTAATCAGTTCAAAGTTCGAGAAAAAAGTTGCCGACACAAGTTTAAATATGAAAAAAATATATATATATTACCCTGAAAAATTTACCTGAACAGACGACCAGCCCTTCTTCACGTCTGTACTTTCACTATCGCTCTCTTTAATCCAACCCCACAACACTCTTCTTCTCTTCTCTTCATCATAAAACGTTTTTGATGCATAGAAAATTCCATAATCATACCTCAACCCGATTCCAACATCCACCTTCGGGTCATCCGGGATCCATGAAACCGCTGTGTCATCGTAAGTCCCAAGTGCATAATAATCATTCCTATCATCATCAAGACTAGCTTTGACCACATGCTTCACTCCTGCACCCTTGTCTGATGTGTCCAACCCATTTGCCTCAATTTTAGAAACAGGGTAAAAGTCCACACACTCCCACATACCCGTACCCGGGACACCATGGAGCACCCCATCCAGGAGCTCATATGTTTTGAAGTCCTTGGTCTCATATACTAGCGAAATGCCAGTTTTGTTAACCTTGGATCCAATGGTGAGTCGCCACGTGCCATCGGACCTGTACCATGCAGTTGTCGGGTCACGGAAGTCCTTGATTTTGATACCGGGCGGTGGGACAAGAACCGGGTTTCCGGAGTACTTGACCCAATCAATGAGGAAAGGATCAGATAAGTTGGCAGGGTATGCTAGATTTTGCACCTGCACAGACTCGTTGGTTGATCCAGTGTAGAGCATGACCACTTGGCCATCAGGGAGTATGGTGGCGGACCCGGTCCATACACCATTGATGTCGTACCAGTGATCGCAAACCATTGCGATTGGAAGGTGGCGCCAGTGAATTAGGTCCCTTGAAACTGCATGGCCCCACACAATGTCACCCCACACAGCCCCTTTTGGGTTGTACTGGTAGAAAAAGTGATACCATCCTTTGTAGAACAATGGACCTGTCATATTTTAAAAGGAATTATCAATGCAGGTAAAATATGACAATTAGTAACAAATGTTTTTCCTACATTATTAATTGAGTAATTTTATTTATATCTAAAAATTTGATCTGACCTGATTTATTATAACTTTTGAATTAACTATAAGTATTATCAAATATTGGAACTTGTTTTTCATCTAATGGTTCCAATGAAATCACATCATCAAGTCAACGAGTAAGATCAATTTTTTATGTTTGAATAACATTACTCTTATTAATTAGTCACAAACTTTGAAATTCTTGAATCCTCATAAATTTTTCTCCTGGCCAAATTTGAGGATTTGAGTGCCGTAATGACAAAACAGTTCGGTACCATATTTTTAAAATTTACTACTTTAATGAGTGTTTTTATAATTAAAAAAATTATCATTCTTATGGGTGATTTATCATATTTATAGATACTTTTATCATTGTTGTGAGTGTTTTACTACTATTGTGATAACTATTTTTACCACTTTTCTTTTGTATAAAAAATTTTACCACTTCTATGAGTGATTTACTATGTCGTGGGTGTTTTTATCACTGTTATAGTAACTATTTTTATCATTTTTTTTTTTGGTATCACAATATTAAATAAAACCACCCACAAATACAATAAAAATTACTACAATTTTGAAATTTAGTTTTTAGGTAACACAGACAACTCCTTCAAATTTGAATACCAAGTACAGTGATTTAGGAGAACTATTGAATAGTATGTGGCCAAATGTACCTGTCATGTTTTTGTCCAAGTCAAGAATAAGTCCTAACATCATCAAGCTGAGTGTCATTGAGGACGTTCCTCCCGGAAAATTAATACATCAAATGTTTAACTACATTACACAATATTAGTTTCTTACACAAGTTTAGAACCAATATAAAGGATGCTTATTCGGTGACAGTCGCTGCTGTGCACAACTCGTTTCTGTTAGGATGGGATGAATCTCTACATCTACAGTTTAAAACTTTAATCTTGACTGATTGTAATTTAAATTTCTTTAATTAATGAAATGTTATCCGTTCCTTGTTTGGATAAAAATGAAAAAAATAAAAAAAAAGAATAAGTCCACATCCAAAGTGGTCAATGACATTTAATTTTAACAAGGGAAATTTGTACACCCATTGTCAAGACCGAGAGAGAGGAACATACCATTAGGATCTGGCGTAGGGTGAAGCAGAATCCCCCACAAGAATAATAGGAGTCAAAAACAGGCCACAAGAGAAAGAGGCCACAAGAGAAAGAAGATCAGAATTTGTAAAAATATCATCCTACTTAAAATCATAACATAAATATTAAAATAGCATCACATTTAGATTGCATGAAATATGAAGCACATACCATTCATCCAGTTTTTTTTTGGTTGAAAATGAAAAGCAGTTCTTTGCCAAGCCAACATTTCTCTGGTCCATGGAAATTGAGGCACGCCCAACAATGGAACAAAAGACTTCGCGGAGACACCTTCCTTTATCCCCCGAGATACCGGCTTTATCCTCCCCGGCGACGTCGACATATTTGTCGTTGAAACTGACGCCGAAACCATCTCACTTCCACCATTTGAAGCCAATCCATCTCCACTCATTAAGGCCACCAACAAACCAACCGCCAGCAACCCAGTCAATAACAGGACTATTACCCTGATGGGTCGCCGGCCTTTGGCAGGAGCGACGGTGGGTCCGGTTTCATCCGACAGGGGTCTGTAAGAATATGGAAGGGCGGTGTTTGTGTCGTCAGATTCGGAGTCGGAACGAAATGGGTTTGAGAACAACATCGTACNGTTTGAATAACATTACTCTTATTAATTAGTCACAAACTTTGAAATTCTTGAATCCTCATAAATTTTTCTCCTGGCCAAATTTGAGGATTTGAGTGCCGTAATGACAAAACAGTTCGGTACCAAATTTTTAAAATTTACTACTTTAATGAGTGTTTTTATAATTAAAAAAATTATCATTCTTATGGGTGATTTATCATATTTGTAGATATTTTTATCATTGTTGTGAGTGTTTTACTACTATTGTGATAACTACTTTTACCAATTTTCTTTGGTATAAAAAAATTTACCACTTCTATGAGTGATTTACTATGTCGTGGGTGTTTTTATCACTGTTATAGTAACTATTTTTATCATTTTTTTTTTGGTATCACAATATTAAATAAAACCACCCACAAATACAATAAAAATTACTACAATTTTGAAATTTAGTTTTTAGGTAACACAGACAACTCCTTCAAATTTGAATACCAAGTACAGTGATTTAGGAGAACTATTGAATAGTATGTGGCAAAATGTACCTGTCATGTTTTTGTCCAAGTCAAGAATAAGTCCTAACATCATCAAGCTGAGTGTCATTGAGGACGTTCCTCCCGGAAAATTAATACATCAAATGTTTAACTACATTACACAATATTAGTTTCTTACACAAGTTTAGAACCAATATAAAGGATGCTTATTCGGTGACAGTCGCTGCCGTGCACAACTCGTTTCTGTTAGGATGGGATGAATCTCTACATCTACAGTTTAAAACTTTAATCTTGACTGATTGTAATTTAAATTTCTTTAATTAATGAAATGTTATCCGTTCCTTGTTTGGATAAAAATGAAAAAAATAAAAAAAAAGAATAAGTCCACATCCAAAGTGGTCAATGACATTTAATTTTAACAAGGGAAATTTGTACACCCATTGTCAAGACCGAGAGAGAGGAACATACCATTAGGATCTGGCGTAGGGTGAAGCAGAATCCCCCACAAGAATAATAGGAGTCAAAAACAGGCCACAAGAGAAAGAGGCCACAAGAGAAAGAAGATCAGAATTTGTAAAAATATCATCCTACTTAAAATCATAACATAAATATTAAAATAGCATCACATTTAGATTGCATGAAATATGAAGCACATACCATTCATCCAGTTTTTTTTTGGTTGAAAATGAAAAGCAGTTCTTTGCCAAGCCAACATTTCTCTGGTCCATGGAAATTGAGGCACGCCCAACAATGGAACAAAAGACTTCGCGGAGACACCTTCCTTTATCCCCCGAGATACCGGCTTTATCCTCCCCGGCGACGTCGACATATTTGTCGTTGAAACTGACGCCGAAACCATCTCACTTCCACCATTTGAAGCCAATCCATCTCCACTCATTAAGGCCACCAACAAACCAACCGCCAGCAACCCAGTCAATAACAGGACTATTACCCTGATGGGTCGCCGGCCTTTGGCAGGAGCGACGGTGGGTCCGGTTTCATCCGACAGGGGTCTGTAAGAATATGGAAGGGCGGTGTTTGTGTCGTCAGATTCGGAGTCGGAACGAAATNCAGGGTGAAGCAGAATCCCCCACAAGAATAATAGGAGTCAAAAACAGGCCACAAGAGAAAGAAGATCAGAATTTGTAAAAATATCATCCTACTTAAAATCATAACATAAATATTAAAATAGCATCACATTTAGATTGCATGAAATATGAAGCACATACCATTCATCCAGTTTTTTTTTGGTTGAAAATGAAAAGCAGTTCTTTGCCAAGCCAACATTTCTCTGGTCCATGGAAATTGAGGCACGCCCAACAATGGAACAAAAGACTTCGCGGAGACACCTTCCTTTATCCCCCGAGCTACCGGCTTTATCCTCCCCGGCGACGTCGACATATTTGTCGTTGAAACTGACGCCGAAACCATCTCACTTCCACCATTTGAAGCCAATCCATCTCCACTCATTAAGGCCACCAACAAACCAACCGCCAGCAACCCAGTCAATAACAGGACTATTACCCTGATGGGTCGCCGGCCTTTGGCAGGAGCGACGGTGGGTCCGGTTTCATCCGACAGGGGTCTGTAAGAATATGGAAGGGCGGTGTTTGTGTCGTCAGATTCGGAGTCGGAACGAAATGGGTTTGAGAACAACATCGTACGTGACTCGCTGACGGAGAAATGACGAGAGAATCAATTTTATATGGGAGAAACTAGGAGGAGAGAGAGAAAGAGAAGCTGTGATTGGATGAAAATGGTCAAATGACAGGTAGACTGTGTCGTGTTCCCATTTGCCATATATGGGTCTTAACTGCTGTGAATAATGCACGAATTTAAAATATTAACTTAAAAATTAGATTTAATAATCTCAATTATTAAATATGTAGTGGGTCTCAATAAATATTAGGATCCACNAGACGGGGGACGGGGCAGGAGTAGGAATTACAATTTTACCTGCAAATGGAGATGAAGATGAAAATTATACTCGTTAACGAAGGTGAACCAAAGATAGACAAAAAATCTTTAAGTGGGTACGGAAATGGAGACTACACCCCTACCCCGTTTCGGTTCATTGCCATCCCCCTATATTAGATATCAAAAACAGAATTTTTTAAATCACAAATCTATGGACCTAAACAATATTACTGCAATAGACTTGTTCCGAATACAAAGCGTTACTACTCGAAGAATTACTAATTCAAAATTTAGATGTCAAAATTGTGTTAATTGGAAAACATAGAGTAGTGTTACATTAACTAAAAAAAATTTATAAAAAAATATAGATCAAATGACATGACCCTACTAAAATAGGAAAATTTTAAATTTTAAATGTATATAAATAAAATTAACAACACTATTATGATAAAATAAAAAATTGGTTCAACAGTCAAAGATGTCCGAGTCAGTTTACTCACGCTTGTCCGATTAAAGACATGTCATTTACGCCAGAACTAAAATATTTATGAGGGATAAATTCTTTATAACCTGACCCCGAGAAATTAACATTATTATGNATTTACTCGCTCTTGTCCGATTAAAGACATGTCATTTACGCCAGAACTAAAATATTTATGAGGGATAAATTCTTTATAACCTGACCCCGAGAAATTAACATTATTATGATAATGTCTCATCATTTATTTCCTGTTTTTGGTCTAGAGATTTAACCACTTTCACCAACAGAGTAGNGTTTACTCACGCTTGTCCGATTAAAGACATGTCATTTACGCCAGAACTAAAATATTTATGAGGGATAAATTCTTTATAACCTGACCTCAAGAAATTAACATTATTATGATAATGTCACATCATTTATTTCCTGTTTTTGGTCTAGAGATTTAACCACTTTCACCAACAGAGTAGAGGAAGAAAATTAGTCCTAGTGATTATGAGCTCTTCATCGGAGATGGGCACATGAACATCCATCCTGGAATGTCAGGACGCGGATCCAATAAATGGATCAGAATATTTTCCACCCTTTTAAGTGCCTAAGTTCAGAAGTATTTTGTTTCCTACTCCAATCTTTAATCTTAAAACGAAATACAACGTTGAAGAAGCAACAGAAGCTGAACAAAATTCCATATATTTTTCTATTCCTATAGGTTATGTATCATTCATCAATATGATTACTCTCCAGCTTCCACNTGGATGCAATAAATGGATCAGAATATTTTCCACCCTTTTAAGTGCCTAAGTTCAGAAGTATTTTGTTTCCTACTCCTATCTTTAATCTTAAAACGAAATACAACGTTGAAGAAGCAACAGAAGCTGAACAAAATTCCATATATTTTTCTATTCCTATAGGTTATGTATCATTCATCAATATGATTACTCTCCAGCTTCCACATGCAAAACCATGTTCCTCACAAGCTTCTACATGNATTCCATATATTTTTCTATTCCTATAGGTTATGTATCATTCATCAATATGATTACTCTCCAGCTTCCACATGCAAAACCATGTTCCTCACAAGCTTCTACATGCATTTACTCCCCAAAACAGAGTGCTGCAATAAACTGGATCACCGATCTCTCTTTTACGAGTAAATATTCCATGTAATGTTGACACCACATCATCAATGCAAGTAATGTTATCATCAAATAGAAAACACAACTAAAGTATGTAAGATTTCATAAAGATAATTATGGAAATTTTGGTATTCAATACCAAAACAGTATACCATTCACTGTTTATATAGATACATCAGAAGATTACAAAAGATTTGAGTACAAATAAGTAGAATCAAAACAAAGTTAACCCTAAGCAAAACTAAAATATCATAAGCATTCTTATCCTAATCATCGGTGGATATATCAAGTCCTAAGCATCCTTATCATGAGTAGATGTATCAGGATCACCCTTATCATGTAGAGAAAAGTCTGTAATTTGAATAGAACTAAGATCACATTGAAGAACCGAAACAGTAGGTTTGTTAACAAAGTAGACTTATTTTTACAAGTGATTACCAAATGACGTAGAGGGGAGTTACTAAAATTTGTGAGATCTACATATTCACTTGTTATATTTTTATTAGATGATAACATCACTTGATATTAATGACATAGTGTCATTGTTACATTAAATATTTTCTTCTGGACCTGGTTCCTATCAATGATGAACCTTTTTCCATTTATGTACACAAAAAATTACACCTTTTTTGTCATCAAAATTGAAATGTTCTTGACCATGGACATTGCGTCGCATTTTTCGTTTGTAATTTATTTTTTTTTCCCTTGACCATTAAGCTTCATAAAATCCTTAGATCAGCAAAACTTAAAAAACAAAAAAAAAAAATTTCACACAATCTGGCAGATGAAAGATGCCTTAATCATACTAATTCCGTACCACCTTACTAAAAGGCATGCGCTCCGGGCACCTAAACAATCTTTCTACTCAATAACGCCACGCTATGAGCTCAAGCTTTATTCATGATGTACCTTAAAGTACACCGGAAATATTCAGATCGTGCTTGGCTAGTATTAAAAAGGTTTTACACTTGACTAAATTTGGCTATCCTAGCGGATGGGTAAGAGGATCAAAGTTCACCTAAAGAATGGGTGATAATGAGTAGGAGATTCCTACAAATTTAATCTGATAATTACCTGATGTATAACTGCGCTAATTAGGACGACGAGGTCCAAAGAGAAATCCAGCCCTGGGGTCATTATCCATGGACAGATGTATACGAGAGTCGCCACTGGCCCAACGCCAAATTCGTTAGTCAGGAGCCCATCGTTGGAGAGACCTCCCATAAAACAAGGCAGCCCTCAATGAAGTTCACTAGCAGATCAAACAGAGAAGAAATGATGTTTCCAAGGGATTCCTAGCATGCTCTATCTACATATTCAGAATCCTAGCAAGGGGCCGACAACAATGAAAATGCAGTATCATTGTGTTAGTCCAGTGTCTAGATGCTTATAGCCTAAATGAAAATGGTCAAAGATGCACTAGCAAATACAACATGACTATATGTCAACAAAAACATCCCCCAACTATGATAAGACATGAACTGGCTGGAGATCTATTGCTAAATCGAGGGATATTCTGAAAACTTGTTGCTAAAGATGAGAAAAGCCAACTTCACTTAACAAGAGTAGAGGGTTTCTAAGGAAAGAAATAAACCAGAAAGAAAAAGGAAAACAAAGATGCAAAACACATAATGAACCGCACATCTTATCAGAGTTTGTCATCTTATTTGATGCAAGTGAGAACTCCTTTTGTGATACGTGAGAGCATTTCATACATTTGGGGGTGGCCATATCTTCCCGAATAAGTCCTCAACCCGCTTCACCTGATTAACATAGCCTTCCATTCCAGCAGTCAAAAGCTCCACAGCTGCAGGCCCCATGGCTGATGCAAAGCCATACTGGTCCCATTTTACAAGCTGAAACATGACAGAAGATCAGCCATCAAACATTCTGGGAAATTACCGGTTTGAATGATGAAATTGAAAATTGAGTGAAGAAATATGTAAAAACAAAACTGTCTTGATAATTTCTTTCAAGTTGAGAAACATTTTACTGGAAATCTGAACTCATCAACGTCTAAATGCATCCAAAAGCAAAATTGGGCGAGGACTCTGTTGCAAGGCTCATAAGAAATATAGAGTTGGATGTCTCACACCGGAGAGGCATCTGCAACAAGGGGTACAGAGAAATTTCTATTAAAGCAGAAGGTCCAACTCTGATTTATGCACCATCAGTTTCCATCCACTTGTAGCAAAAGCCACCACATTATTTGGTATTCTCACAAATCAAACGACAGTCCCTTCCATAATTTACCTCTATTGTTCGGATTAAGTTGGCCATGGGGGAGAAAAAACTATAAAATTGCATTAAAAGCAGACCTCTTCTGCACTGAAATTATAGGTAGCAGCTGATTGTGGCGATAGCCTTCTCACAAAAGAGTATTTGTCATCAGGAGGAGTCACGGAATCCTTGAGGGACTGCAATATCTTCAACGGTGTGATGATATAGTCAATCCTGTAAAAGGAGGAAAATAAGGCTTTCCCTTTGGCTGTGAGTGGTGGAAATAAAGCTTGAGGAGCAGCATATGCTTATGCTGGAGTATCACACTTTATAGAAATTCCAAGATGGTTCGAAGCCAAGTAATAATTACCCGAGAATGTTAAATACGTCCTGCTTGTTCCGAATTGCTGCTGCCATCAACTTCGATTTGTGTCCATACTTGTGAATGTAGTTATAAGCTTTCGTCACCTGCAATAGAGAATACATGCTCACTTCTGAACAATCCTTTGTTCTTACCCTAGTCACTTTTGAGGGACATTACTGAATTCCTACAGGTCCAGCAAAATTGGCATTGTCTCGGACAGAAAAATAAAAGAACAAAGAGGATGAAATGTCATACTTCTTTGAACTTATTCTCAAAAGATATTTTTTTATCACAATTTCTGAAAGGTATTAAAAATATTTTTTTCAAATTATAAAATAATAAGCAACAAAATATTTAGCAACTTATAACTGTGTAACCGAATTACTAACATCCTGCAAGAAATCTAAGATTATAATGCAAAGCAAGGCAGAACTAGATATTTTGCCGGGATGATATGGTCATGAGTGATGAACATGAATAACTACATTATACCTTCAAAAGGAGTAATTCAAAGGCTCTGAAAGCCGAGGTGAATGCCAAAAAG